TGAATTAAACAAAGATGGAAAGATCCTTTTCAATACAGAACAATGTATTTTTTTCTCAGAGACTTGTGCTACAGAATCACAAAGTACTTTACCAAATAATAAAAACCACATCACTTGTACACTTAACAGCAACAATAATTAAAATGAATAGCACATGTAACTAAAAAGGAAAATATGACATAAGCATGATGCTGACTTTTTACAATGCCTTTAACAAAGAGATTAGGAAACAAACTCACATTAATACTTGTGAAATGGTTTAGTTTTAATAATTCGCTTAACAGCAGTAAAGATTATTCACTGAAATAGTTCAACAAAAAAAATGAATCAAAATAAAACCACCACAGTTATATCACTAGATATACAGATAATTGAAAAATAGATGATTATTTATATAAAATATTACTATCACTGTCCCATAATAGTTGTTACATTTGCACATACATAAATGTACAAAACAATTATGGGACAGATGTAGTATTTCAGTAGACAGATCAACAAGTGAAAATAAAGATTAGGGGTGTAAAAAAAAAAAAAAAATTAAATTTTAATAACAATCCTTCTTGAAGCACCTATCCCATAACAGTTGTTACATTTGCATACACATTTCATACACTAAATGTAAAAACTATTATGGGATAGAGTAAGTATTTTTTTTTTTAAATTGTTCGTAGTTTTTATTTTATGTTTCAGGATTTTCATGAATGTTTATCATTTTCATATAATAAAAATGATAGAAATTATTTCATGTTTCTTTAATTCTCTAGATATCCAAGATATTAATTTTAAATAGAACAAAAGTATATATTTCTATCTCTATAATTAAAATTAAAAACAAAAAGACAATATTTTATTTCACGTGTATCAAATTCTCTTCATCAATGAAGGTTATAATTTCAGTTTCAGGTAAACAATAACAACAACAACAAAAGCTTCTCAACGTGCACCTGCCAGACAAGTTTCTAATTTTGTAAGGCTTCTATGCCTCACATTCCTTTTTCATTATTTTTAATTAACGTGGTCAAGGTAAATAATCTTGTTAGACCATCAGAATCAAATTTAAATTAGGATTCATGCCACGGGCATGTTTTTCTTGTAAAGACAATACAATATTAATCACAATTTCCTCCCCACAAGCTTAGCATTCCACAGAATTGATTAAACTGGACAACCAATAAAATAAAAATCTCACACACACACGCACACACAGAGAAAACAATTTGAAATGAGCTTGTCTTTTTTTTTTGACTGTCACAATCTTAACAGGACATCTGAGAATGATTCTAAAGTTTGAAGGAAGACTTATTTATTTTTAGAGTTAAAGAAAATAATGTCACCTGATCCCTAGCAAGAGAACTTCCAAATATGTGTGGTGTGAAAACTCAAATAAAAAAAAATAAAATAATAATGATTATAATAACAACAACAACTACTACTACTACCACAGAATATTGAGGAGAGCGTTGGAGTACCAAGTAGACTAGTGTCACATAATAACCAATGAAAGAAACTAAATACTATTACTGTAAAAAACTTAATCATTTTTTTTTCTTTTAAATCAGTACCACCCTATGCAAGGCAGTAAAGCCACTAAGACACAAGGAGTGTGAAAGAATTAGGAACAGAAACATTAATAATGATGAGCAGAAAGAGAAAAGACTAATTAGGAGAACACTAGAATGTGTTCGACATTACAGTTAAATTTTTGCAGATTAAAGTTGACTGGAAAGCATTGAGCCAGAAGAAGTACCACAAATGAGAAGTGCAAAAATAGAAACTGTTAGCATAGAATTTACAGTTACAACTAGCCAGCTCAACTGTAAATTCAGGAGATCTTGATGCCAATCCCGTGTTCCACTTAAATTAAAAAAATCTAGATACCATAGCAAAGAGCTCATTCAAACAATTACCATGAAAGTATTTACAGAAAAGACAGAAAGGCAACCTTACAGCAGTGGGAAAGTGACTGAAGACAAGCCATCAGATCAGGACCAATAATATTGCAGATTCTTCTTTGGATTTTATCAAGAATTTCTAGATATTCAGCAAGGCAACCGAACCATATATGGCAGCAATATTCTAAGCTTGGACGAATGGCAGACTTATAGATATGGAAGATAGATTCCGGAGAGAAAAATTGTCTCACCTGACAAAGTGAACAGACTTTCTTAAGAGCTGACCTAGCAATGGATTCAATATGGTCTTTCCACTTTATTTCAGCTGAGAACATGAGTCCAAGAAGGCACAATGAGTCACTTTCCTGGAGGTTAGCATCAGCCATTCTGATGGAAAACAGCGAGGGGTCTCTCAGATGATTAATGAAGAGAAATTTTGGATGCATAAAAATTAACATGCTATCTTTTGTCCCTCTTAACAATAGACTTGGTCGTTTTGGACATCAGCTGCCATTTTGATCTTATCTGATTGATAAGCCTTACTATTGAGACAGGAATAAATGGTAGTGTCATCAGTGTAGATACCAAGTTGAGAGCTGATGTCATCAGGAAAGTCATTAACAAAAATTAAAAGCAGAGTAGGACCAAGGATGGAGCCGGGGGGTGGGGGTGACAGGCGCATTAGTACAAAAGATTCTAGATGAATGGCCATTCAAGACACTTTCATATCATGATTTGATAGGAAAGACAGGATCAGTTCAAAAAGTGTCCAGAGACACCATAACTTTTTAACTTGTGAAGAAGCTTTCATGATGTCTGTTTTTATCTAGAACATGATCGATTCTTTCCGTAATTATTGTCAGTACATCAGCAGTTGACCAGGAGAAACAAAAAACATTGTCGAAGAAAGGGCCCAGAGATGAGAGATGATGAACCAATTTAACATTGATTAGGGCCTTTAGGAGTTTGCCAAGAAGAGATAGAAGGCTAATAGGCTGATAGTTGGAAGGGTCATGATGACTTCCAGCAGGCAGGAAAGCAGGAGATATTTATTATACAGTTTAGAGAGAACAGGAGCACACTTCTTAATAACTATTACAGGGATACCATGAGGTCCACATACTTTGTAGGGACATGTACACAAAAAAAAAAAAAATGATGAGAGTGCTTAAGTACTGTGGTGACTTGTTGGTACTTGATCACTAGAGAAAGCTGCCAGTTGCTCATGGTGTGAAAATTCAACAAGTAAATAAATGATATAAACTTATGACAAAAAAAATACACAAACATATGGGGGGGGGGCTTTAATCCAGCCTTCCTAGCATAAAATAGAAATTCTCTTCGAGTATAAATCAGAATGAGAAAATTTATTAAAAAAAATTTATCTAATTTAAATTACAAATTTAATTTAATTACAAATTTTCACAAAAGATGATGTTACATTTATGAATACAAAGGTTAAAGTAAAACAAAAGTAGTGAAGTAGTGCAAAACAATGACTAAGTGTTATCTGCTATCAATCGATCAATATATATATATATATATATATATATATATATATATATATATATATTATACATGCACACACACACAGGGTTGGTACACATGGAATAAAATTCCAATAACCAAAAATACTATTCTTAAAAGAGTGCTCAATACTTAGCAGAGCTAATAATATTTATTCAAATTTATAGCATATATAAGATTACTACAAAAGTAGCAATTTTATTTTGACACTTCTGGTGTCTTATCAAGTGGCCTTGATAAGACACCAGAACTGCCGAAACAAAATTTTAACTTTTGTAGTTATCTTATAGTATGCACATGTTTTATATATAACACACACACACACAAACAGAGGCATACATACATACAGGGGGTGATGGGTAAATTGTTGACATTTTATATTTTTAATTCTTTCTGAAATTTGGAAACTGTATGCTGTACTGCTTGGCATTCCCACCAGAAGCTCTAATATGAACACTTCAGAGTGTTTGGGTGTCAAGCTGAGGACAGTGCAGAGGATTCAGTAAATAGTTGGATGAGTCAAATGGGGATTATGAAGGTATGCCAGCTCAGAAAACTCACTCTGATCATTCTGATAAGAAAAGAACTCTCAAATTTGTTGCCGAGGGCATCAGACTCAACACAGAGGGCTACATCAAGTGCATTGAGATGATAGTGCTGCCCTGGGTCAAGAGGGTGGCTGCTGGAAGACCTTATGTCTAGCAACACAACTCTGCACCATGCCACACAAGCAGGAAAACCCAGTCATGGCTGTCAGGGAATTTCTGCAACCATATCACTCCTTAGATCTGGCCACCTAACACCCCAAACTGCAACCCCCTTGATTATAGGTGGGGCGCAGTGGAGCTAGAGACCAACAAAACTCCTTGTAACACCAAAGATGAACTGAAGGAAAGGACTATGGCAGCATTCACCACTAAAACAAGGAGATTGTCCAGAAAGTTGCAGGAGATTCTGAAGTCATTTGGAAGCTGTGGTTGAAGCCAATGGTGATTTTATTGAATAAATTTACTCTTTAGTTTTTTGAGATATTTTTGTGTATTTTTGGTAAATGTATCTATTAAAATGAGATGTCGGTGTTATTTTCATTTTTGCATAATTTAGATGAGAATTTATTTATCACACTCTATATATAAAACACAAAACCAACCCTTAACATCAATTATAATCAGCCACAATGTACTGATCTTGTTCAGAACTTAATATGCTTACTTTCAGCAACTTTTATATGGTCTACTACACTTATACTACTATGATAAATGGAGTGTAAGAAAAAAAACCCTTGAAAATAGCTAAAAGTTTACAAAGAACCCAGAATTAGACTTTTGGTTAACTTTTACACATTAAGTCCAAACAAAAGTACTTTGTCAATCTTTTTCAATGATAAGCGTCCTCCTTATTTCACTTTATTTATACAGTTAACTTTAAGAATATTTAGAGCTTTCTTAAATTCAACTGAGAACATTACACAAAATACGACCATATTTACCGTAATGCCAGAGTTACCTCCCTTCGCTTTAAGATCATAGCTAGTCTTAGCCAAGTAGAGAATTTAATTTTTATTGGGTCCTACAGGCTTACAGCCATATCATGTTGAAACACCACAGGTTCTTGTACAATTGCCGAAGTTAAGCCACCTTGAGCCTGGTCAGTACTGTGATGGCTGACTGCTTGGGAATATCAAATGCCATAAGCACAATATGCCTTGTGATGTATAACAGCTCAGAACTGGAAACAAGGAGAGCCAAGTTCCAATTCCAGTCAGGTTTATTATATTCACTTGCATGCAAATACCACCTCTTCTCACAGCTATGAGGAAATTAGCACTTGTATTGTTTAATAATTATTATCTCCAAAAAATGCTTACAATCTGGTTCTAAATAACCTGACAAAGGTTGATAAGCTGTAAAAAAATAAAAAATATAAAAAAATCAATATTGGGTTCTATGCTTTTGTGCATCTCTGTGGAACTTACCTGCAGTCATGTTACCATTTTGTTTAAAAAAAAAAAAAAAAAAAAAAAAAAGATACTAATTACATGCCTTGCCTATATAGCTGATTTAATCTTTAAAGTGCCTGTTTTATTTGGTGATCATGGCTCTCCACAACTTCCTAAACAATATTTGACTGTCCCATCTCCACCATCCATTTAAATAAAAATTCATTAGGTAGGTTACCTCTCTGGCATTCAATATGTCTTGTGAGTGTTAAATTCACTAGGCTCTCTTTTCTCAGTCCCAGAAATTCCAATTTTTTTCTGGCTTTAAATACAAGTTCCTATTAATTCTCATTTTCATTAAAACTTCCTCTATTTTCAGTCTCAGCACCCCTCTGAAGAACTACATCTCTGTAACTTCTTCATTCCTAAAGAAATTGACCAGCATTTACTGCCATATAGGAGGATTGATACATGAAAGTTCTGCACTTATAATGAAATTTTTTCAGTTTCTTATGTTTCATTGTTTAGTTTCTGAAAGGTGTCATTAACTATTCTAATATGTTTGGATTTCTATATCACATTTTTTCATCATCTGTTACTAGACTATCAAAATAGTTAAATTTCTGTACCTGCTTGCTTTTGAAATCTTCAATTCATAGATCACATCTTTGGTTGTCTCCCTTGCTGATGACTATACATTGTTCTTTTACTTAATAGTTACTGTTTTCTTCTCACTTTCTTTGGCAACCTTGTCTAGTTTTGCAGTTTTATTTCTGAGTCTGCCACCAATAGTCATTCATTATGTCTGTTAATAATAAATCTTGATTCTCTTAGAACATTAATTAATGTCAAAAATATAAAGAGATAAATAAAAAATAAAAACTGTAAATAATTTTCTTTTGCAAACCACACCAATACTCAGAAGTAGTATACTAAGTCTCAAACCTTAATACTAAATCTTTAAACATTAAACCAAAAGCACTTAAGATATAACCAAATCTTATACTGTGGTGTTTACCACATAAAATAACTTGTATTTTTAAGAGACCCACCCTTTGAATGGGGTGAAAATGCTTGTGAAATAAAAACTACAGTAGCATTAATAAGTTTAGGTATAAAATAATTTCTAACCAACTTTTTTTTTTTAAGTGCTGTCCCTTTGGGACCTAAAAAAATCATGGATCTTAACAGATTCATTTTCTTTTATCATATGTGAATAGCCATGACATCTTGGGAAAGATATTGGAATAGTTTCCTGATATCTTCTCCATGGTTCAAAACAGAGCCCAGTCTACACTGCTATTTAACTTAGAGCTTGGAGAGAGAAGAAATCTGTTCATGCCTTTCCCAAGGGTATTAGAGTGAAAGTAAATGCAAAAGACTAGGCTATAATTTCAACTTGACCAGCTGATAACCATTACACCTCTGTCATATGCTAAACATTTTCAAAAGCAAGGCAGAAAATAATTATTAAAAAAAATGATGGAAGGCTGCTTAATCAAAAGCATTCACTATTAAGAAATTTATAAATAAATAAGGGAACTTTTCATGATATTGTCATAATATAAAGTGTAAAATATATATATATATATATATATATATATATATATATTTATTAGTTGGATTGCTGTGAGTTTGTTAATATGTTAGCTCTATCAATGATAGTGAGTGCTTTCTAATAAGTACGTGCATATATATATAAATAATATATATATATATATATAAAATTGCATATTATATATATATATATATATATATATATATATATATATATATATGAAATGCGTGTGTGTGTATATATATATATATATATACACACACAACGCTGAGAATCCCTTATCCAAGTGCTTAGGCTTTCATATTTTTTTTTTCATATTTTGGAATACTGGCTGTTTAATTTGTATATAACATCTATAAGTTAGGGCAGCTTGGGAATGGAACCCAAGCATAAACTTAATATCCCTTTATATTTCATAACATAGCTTATACAGATACCCTGAAGGTAGTTTTATATAAATAATATATACCCTGAAGTAGTTTTAAAATTTATTAAATTTTATGTACATACAGATACAGGTGATGCTTGTCATCTAATGCTCACACAGATTTTTTAAGTGGTGAAATTAAGTTTTCACATAAAAATAATGTTTTGTACTTTCTGTACATGTACAAAAAAAACAATCACTATTTACAAAAAAATATATAAATGCAGGACTTTTTGACATCTTTACTGAGCACAAAACAGCTGTTAAGTAATCCATGAACAAAGGTGTTGGTGTGACAATTGCTAACAAAATAAACTAGTGCCAGCATAGGCTATATAGCTGGGCTGGGGAATCCCCACCCAAGGCAGATGAGGTCACTTACAACAGTTGCACACCACCTAGGAACCTAGAAAATTTCCATTTGTGCCAAGTCATGTCAGCTACTGAAAAACTTCCAGATTTTTTATAAAAGATATTCACTATATATTGGATATATTTATCCAGCCTCCCCACTAAGGCAGGATGTGGTTGACTCAAAAGTTTGCTCATTAAGTATAAAACTTACTAAACAGAATAAACATTTTTGCCATCACAATATTTGGAATTGTGCTCAATAAAAAGAGGGTAGAATTTTTCTCAATATGCAATAAATGAGTAGGCTTCCAGAGTGTGAGGGACGGGAATGTCAGAAAACCATTTAAATGGTCAAAAAGTGCAAAATTAATAAACGGGGTTACTTTAATAAGCTTGTGGTGGGGTCTGAAGAATTCCTCAAAAAATAAAATTAAACATTACCCACATTCTATTAGGCCCTAAATGTATATGACTAATGCATGTGCAGTAGATTCCAATCTGATTATTTGCAAAATCAAAATATTTAAAATGGGTGGTTACATTCTAGACAGTGTGTATGTGTGTGTGGACTAGCGCAAAGGCCACACGTCCCATCCCCAATCTATGATACGGTGCCTCCACCCAACATCTCAATTTTCATAAGATAGTATTTACATAAAATACAAATTTTTTGTAACCTAATTATGTACAATAAAAGATCATATGCAGTATAGGTGAACAATTCAACTAGAAAAATTGAAAATAAATACAACATATCTAAATATAAATTAGAGACATGTCATAATAGATCATTTCATTTTAAATAAATCAACAATGTTTTGTGGCAATTTTTAACATCAACTTGAGATTTTTCTTGTTAAATAGTTTGATAACTTTAACAGATTCAACATTTTGGATAAAAATAGTTAATTTTATAGTGTTTTTTGAGACTTAACAAACAAAACAAATTCACAAAAATTTATCTTCCTTTAATAGTTGTGCTTAATTTAAGTTTAATTTGTAACATATATAAAATTACATAGAAAAAAAAGCAAATGTTGATAAGATAGTGAGGGTTACAAAGTACTGCCCCACAACTCCAATCAGGATTGCCTCCCAGTCAGAGGATAGTACATATGGCCTGTGTGTGTGTGTGTGCATATTATTCCTGCACACACAGATTTTCTGTTTTCCATAATAATTATGCTATATATATATATATATATATATATATATATATATATATATATATATACTACTCTTCAAGTAAAATTGAATTGAGTTCTATGAGCCACTGGCTAGAGAAAATATGTTAAAATTCCCTTCCTTCTCTTAAAATTATTTTAAGGCACTTTATGTTTATACGTTCTTTTTATTGTTGGATTTTGTCCATTTCATAATGTGTGACATCATTTGTTTACATTTGGATATGCATCAAACAAATATGAATGTACAAGTGGAAATCATGGAGAAGTGTAGTTAAAAAAAAAAAAAAAAAAAAAAAAAAAAAAAAGAAAAGAAAGTAAAATCGACCTTGCTAACCGAAACGCTCCTCTGTAGTGAAATCAGTAAAGCACTTCAGGCTATATGACGGTTCCTTATAGGATACAGGTTTGATTCCTGCCGGAGGACGCATATTTTCTGTGAAAATTTCTCAGACATTCAGGCCAGTAAATGTCATCAATACTGTTTATTATAAACAGAGTATTTACTTAAATATTTGTATCTATAAAAAGAATGTATAAATATAAAAAATGCCTTAAAATAATTGTCGGACTTTGTCCATTATATATATATATATATATATATCCCCTTTAAAAAAAACGCAAAGATTCTTCTATTTGCATATGACCTTATTTCTGGACAAATACTTAGATGAAGTTACAAACACAAAAACGCAAATGAAAAAAAAAAAAAAGCACTCTTAAAAACATTTTCTGTTTAACTACTTGAGAATGGGTTAAGAGATTCTTTTTTTTCCATCTTCTTACTCTAGCAGTGAATCAGATAGGTATTCAAAACCTGGTGATTAAGGAAGCGACAGTAACGATTGTCCGAAAGCAACTCAATTATATGATCTAACAAAAAAAAAAAAAAAAAAAGAAAAAATATAATTCCAAGTCATTAATTTCTGTGCTCATTAAACTACATTCTGTTTCACAGAGATAAATAATTTCTTTTTTAAAAAAAATTATATCAAATATCGAGTTTTGAAAGGACCTTCATGAGGATTTTTGTTAGATTAAATTTTATACTAGAGAATACAAAAATAAAATATCTCACTTATGCAAATGGAAATGTCCCACTTTAAAAAAAACAAACAGTTATTATTATTATCATTACTACTACTATCAAGTCCTGGTATCTACTATCACCCACTCAAAGTGTTGCTAGTGAAAAGGTTAAACAATGGTAAATGTGGCAGCTAATG